TTATTTGTTGTTCATGAACAAACTTGGATTTTTAAATGCCTGAAATTTTCAAGAATAACTTCTGAACTTTCAAACTCTTCATGATATATTCATAAACTTTCAAAAAAGTTCATGAATGATATTAATAGGTTCAATGCATTTATGAACTATTCATGAATAATTTGTAAAAGTTATTAACAATGTTATTCCCATGTTATGCTTTTAGTAAACAAAAATGTATCCCCGTTAGCAAAATGAAAAACTAAAAGAAAATATTTTAATAGCATCTGTTTCATAGAATTTGTTTTAAATTTAAAAAGACTTTGTTGGTAAACAACTCAATAAGCTTTATAACGATTAATGTGATTACTTATGTACTTTTCATCGTCAAAATCCATTATAAATTCAATTCAAACGGGACTTGTTCTCTCTTAACCTTATTGGATACACAGGAGCATGCTCTACCTATTCAGCAACTTAAAGTGTATGACAAAATGGCATGATTTTTAATCAAATTTCTCATTGTCTGGCAGAAAACTGTGTTCAGCAAATATAATCAGTTTTATTAAGGGCCTTCAAGGATTTTGAGCAGACGTTTTTCAATCTAAAAGTCTTATTGGCTTTCCCTGTGGAATTTTCAGAATTTCATCACTTGGATCACTTTAATCGATTACGATTCATATTTTCATTCCTTTCTTTTATTTTTTTCAAGAGCCTTTTTTTATATTGCTTTTTTTTTTTTAACAGCCAATTTTTTAACCTTCTGATCTCATATCATCATACATTATATGTGAAATTGTTATTTTTAGAAGACAAAGATCTTCTGAAAATGCTCATAAATATGAAAATTTGACTTGATAATTGTTTCATTTAATTTTGCATCATAGGCACTGCCATATTTAAAAGCATTCCGGCCCACGAGTTTAGCCTGTTTCCCTTGCCCACCATGTTCAAGATGTTATAGGTGAACAGGATGAATGTTTCAATCTTTAATTATTAAATGTATTATAAACGTAATTTGGTTTATTATACTCATGATAAATTTGAAAAATTTTCATCTGACTGAACTCTTACAAATTTCTTTGACAAATATCTCACAGATTCAGCGATTGCCTCCATTTTTTTGTAAGTCACCACTAAGTATCTGCAGTTATGATTAAATTGATTTGGATATTCCTTCATTGTTATTCTGTTACTTTCTTCAAAGGTTGACAAAGAATGACTACGCTAATAATCCTCCCACAGAATTCACTTTCCAACGTCTCGCGCGTTTCAAAGTTTGCGCCTTTTAAAAAGTGTCATGCAGAGCTAATTAAAAATTTTCGAATTGCCAAGATTTTTGTTAAACAAAAAATAAAAACACTATCTGAATGATTTTTCACTGAAATTATTTTTTTTTAAATTAATATAAAAAGTTATATCATTTATTGAATTGGTTTTTTTTTACATTTAATTTATACCTGGAGCCATAGTTTCGTATTCAAGTATGGCCGCCTCCATATCAGAGGACAACAAATATCTTGTTGGAACCACTCTCCCTCAAACTGAGTAATATGAAAGTGTATAGGAGAATAACTAAAATACGAATGTGGTTCATGTCATAGCTTCTTCACAACCATGCAGCCTGTGCTGTATCATTTACACATGATGGACATTAAAAATGTGACTTTATAAAGCATCAAAATATATAACTTTTCATATATTATTTATCTGTACAGTACTCTAAGAATAATAATTTTTTAGTTGTCAATAAATTTATGATAGTTTTTAAAGATTATGAAATTTTTCCTAGACTGTAAGTCTGTTTGATTTTTTTTGTTAAAAGTTTGACATATATAGAGAAAATTCGGTATTTGTGTCGTGAAAAATGAGATATTTAAAGCACAATTTAATATAGCTGGCCAATTTAAATGATGAAAAACATTTTTTTCAATATGAAATAAAATGCTGTCAATAAAGATGCAGTGTTTTTTTAAATTCGATATAATTTAATTATAATCTCCCGTCTAGACAGTTCATAACAGAGTTTTATTATCCTGGAGATATTAAGTTATCAATTACATAAGTAGATATATATTTTAACCTCTTAAAAAAATTTCTGATCCATAAAAAACTTTCAAAATCAAAACAAAAGCATGTTATTAATTAAATCAGTTTGTACTTGTTCAACAATTGCATCTGCATGCAAAAGTTGTAGTATGGGAGTAATGATGTTTTCTGAGAGATCAAAATTTTAAAATTATTTTTTCATTTTTAAATCCTTCATAAAATTTATGAACATTCATTACCTTAAACTACTAAGTTTTTTTCTTTAAACTGAAAATTACCAATATTCATATTTGTTCATCATTTGTTCATGAACTATGAATTATGAATGTTTTCATGAATTTTATTCATGAACTACTTTTATGAACCTGTTAAGAATCCTTTAAGAACCATTCATGAACAATTATGAACAACTCATAAAGGTTCTTAAAATCATGAATATCATTTCGCAGGGGTTATCACATAGACATAAATGTACCACAATATCAAAATACGTTTAAACTTGAAAAACTACAATAATGTCGTAATACGTTAAATACATATCAGAATGGAACATTTTTGATTCAATTCTTACCTGATGATCGTCTTTGAAAACTTTCTGCTTCACAAACGAAAGACTTCTATATATACACATATGGATTTAAAACCTTTATATGTCAATGTCTTAAAATCTTAATTGACGACCTCGGATGTATATTTCTCCAATGCCAAACAACAAATTAGATGATAAAGCCAAAATATTCTGTGCATAGATTTGCAAATGAATAGTTACGATGCAGTACTGCATAGCAGAGAGCAATTGCGGTACTTCACGGAAACCACATCTCTGCAACTGGCATTTGTTATTCAAAATTATACTTGATATAAAACTTGGTAACAGAATGAAAACCAGTTAAATCACCATTCGAAGAAATCATACATTGTATTTACACACAAGGGCATTATATCGACTATAGATCTTACAAATTGTTTACTTTCAGAGGGCAGGGGGTGGGGGTGGTGTTGGCCATTTTTATACTACACATTTATAATGATCTCTTTTAGAAGAAAAGTTCTATATAAAAATATGCAACAATGATCAAATTTTAAAACTGAAATGTATGATATTTTTCTGTGTAAAATAACAGTTGACAGCTTACGATATATCTACAAATTTAAGCTATATCTGATGATTAATTTGTTGAACCCCAGCTATCATAAAGAGTTCGTTAATAAATTGATTGAACATATTTTATTGACAAAGAGTCAAAAGGATTAGACACAAGTTTAGAAACTTAGATAGTTATAATAAAAAAAATATATACATATGGTCTACTACAAATACATTGTTCTAATAGAGAAAAAATAAGATCTTCTTAAATTGGTAAGAAAAAAGGAAGCTTATTTTGAAAGTATATAAGGCCATTAATGATCTTGTTTGATCAACTTGTAATTCAATAGTTTTCTAAGATAATTACTTGCTTCATTTTTAGAAGCATGTCCTCGCGATTCAAATCAAATGAGAAATATAAACTCAATAAACTGGTGATGTTTTTTCTCTAACAATAATAAAGCTTGTCGAAGGAAAAATTGAGATTGTCGTATTTATTATAAAACTTCATTGTGACAATACGTGGTTTTATTAACATCTAAAGAAATTTTTAAAAAATTCAGTACAAAATCTTAATGTTTCAATATAATTCCTGATAAATAATGTTTGGTTCGAATAATATTAAGACGGAAAAGTATAAATAAAACGTCTTTCTCACAAGTTGGTGATCAGCTAATATGAGTATATGATTATCAGCTCGTAGGACAAGTTCTATGGTCGTTAGAATGACCTTGTCAGCAAATTCAATTTATCATAGAGTAAAATGCTGACTGTCGTTTTTCATACTAATTGTTAGCCCATTATTTATACACTGAATCGACGACGGAGTTTTCCGTTATTTGCCGATCATGACAAGGAGCACAAGGCGAGTGAAACCGGTTGGCAGGGGATGCTCACTCCTCCATGTCACCTGATCCCACTTCTGATGCTTTCAAGCTTCGTGTTTCCTTCTCTGCTCCAATTTTGTATTGTTTTAACCTCCTATTAACAAAATATTTTTCATACAGAGAAGTATACCGTTACCATTTACCGGCGAAGGGCTTCGAATTTAGACCTTAACTTAATTTTGTAGATATGATATCTTAAACTGTCAACTATTATTTGACAAAGAAAAATTTCATACATTTCAGTTTTAAAATTTGATCATTGTTGTATATTTTTATATGGAAATTTTCTTCTAAAGGAGATCAATATAAATGTGTAGTATAACAATGGCCACCACCCCCACCTCCAACCCAGTACTCTGAAAGTAAATGTTTGTCAGATCGTAATAGTCGATACAATGCCCTTGTCTACAAATACAATGTATGAGTTCTAAGAATAGTGAGTCGCCCGTGTTGCCCAGTGGTCATAGCGTCTGCTCTAGAGTTGCGAAGTAAGAAGTCGATCTTTACGTCGCTGGTTCGAATCCAACTGTGGGACATAGAGACCGGTCCTTCGGATGAGGTTGTGGCACGAAAAAAATCCCTCACAGCTCAATGGCCCTGAGTGCCCAGAAAAGGACAAAATTTCTAGCTCTCAAGCGGCAAGTGGAGGAGTCTCCATATGCGTAAAAGAAATTCGAGAAGGGCGTTAAACAGCATACAATAAATCAATCGAATGGTGATTTAACTGGTTTTTATTCTTATTGTTAACAAAGTCAGCAAAGTTTCAATCAAATATAATTCTAAAAACAAATGCCAGTTGTAGACATGCGGTTTTTTAACATGAAGATATTCTACGTGTAGTACCGTTTTTGCTCTTTATGTTATGCAATACTGCATCATATCTATTCAATTGCAAATGTCTACAAATATTATTTTGGCTTTATCATCTAATTTGTTGCTTGACATTGGAAAAATATACATCCAAGGTCGTCAATTAAGATCCTTCATTTAACGTCATTGACGTATAAAGGTTTCAAATTCATCTGTGTATATATAAAGGAAGCCTTTCGTTTGTTAAGCAGAAAGTTTTTAAAGACAGTCATCTGGTAAGAATTGAATCTGAAAATGTTCTATTCTGATATATACTAGTATTTAACGTATTTGAACGTTATTACAGTTTTTCAAGTTTAAAAGTTTTTTGATATTGTGGTACATTTAATTGAAATTTGTCATATCAAATGTTCAAAAAGACTTTTGCAATTCTATCACATTTTAGGTTGGTTTGACAGAAAAACTTTCTCAAAGATAACAATGAACTTTGTTCAGCTATTGTTGCTTCTTGTTCTGGTGATCTTGACCATTTATGTGATGGGGTCTTTCGCTACTCCCGGGAGATGGTCCAGGAGCTGGTCAAGTTCCGACAGCTCGGGATCTTATAGCTGGCATGGATAATTGAGAAAAGGCAAGTGTTGTAAATCTAATTTGATGGTTCCAATCAAATTATTTTGTTTTGGATTCAATGCAGAAAAAAAATTTCAGATTTAAATCTCTCACATCGTATTTCCTTTTTTCAGGTTATGCAACATCTTGTTCAGGAATGGATATATATTGTTCATGTTTGAATAATTTTACAAATTGTTGAAATAAAGATCAAATTATATGAAAATAATCTTATACGTTTTATTGCTTGAGAAAGGTTTTTTATGGATGTATTTTTTTATAATCTAACTGTAAGTATAATTTAAAATTGGAAATAATATAATTAATCAATGTGATCCGTGGTGTTTGCGGGAGCAGTTTCAAAACAAATGTTTCAACTAAGAAGTAGGCACAATTTGACCTTTATAGCGCTCTTAAACTTTAAAGTTAAAAAAATTATGCAATTGGCTTAAATGTAAGCTAAGTATATGAATGTGATATATCATGTAAGCATTTGGCTTGAAGGATAATTCCCCGCAATCACGAAAAAAAAAGTGTCTTTAACAATTTCATGGTACATATATAAAAAAGTTATTTCTGTAAATACAAAAAATCCAACAGCGCTGCAAACAATTCAACAAAAGTATATACTTTACAAACATCCATTAAAGGCGCTTTGATACAGATTTAATGTTTTCTCAAATTTTCTGTATAATTTCATATGTTGCTATTGCATTTCATATGAAAATCTAATAAAAAAAATTTTTCTGGAAGATATTGAAACTTCGAATTTATAGACGCGTTTGATCAACACATCCTTACACGTTCACAAAATTTATTTTCATTCTTAATACTCAAGAAAAGTAGCAATTTTGTTGTGTATTGCTGAAATCACAAGCAAAATGACTAATTGGCTGATTATCTGCATCTAAGTTTCATCAAACTTTATGATATAACGTTGGCGCTGTACGAATCATGCCAGGCACTTCAACTATTGAATACTCAAAATAAGTCCTTAAATGATCATGAACATACTTCAAAAAATAAATATATATTTTTTACATCATACTCTGTGAATGTTAGTACAAATGAATGTACAACTAAATTAGGATCAGGGTTCTGAACGGACCACAAAGAGGCTGCAGACACCACTGAGCGTGGAAGAGAATTTTCTATAATGTCATTGCATGGAGAAATATTTTTTAAACAGCTTTATATTTAAATTGTGTGAGTGAAAAAAGGTTTGAAAGTAAGAAGAACTTGTATTGCCTGTGTCGGTGGTATAGTCTGTGGAACTAAAGAGAGGCTTGGGTCTATCACAACTATGTTGTCCACAACTTTGTATTGTTATAAAACAAAGGATTTTACTAAATGTTACCTAACTTTGTTTAAGGTTACGCAATCAATAAATTTCTTTTCGTTTTTTTAAAAAAAAAAAAAAAAAGGAGAAAAATATGCGTGTCCCTCGATGGATTTGAACCGGGGACCTTTGATATTGGGAGCTTTCGCTCATTCCACTGGACCAGCAAGGCTTGCAACTATAGTGTATTTAAATTAATTTTGATGTTGGCAATTTGAGTGGCACTATTTTGTTTATCGTAGTGAGTTGCACGCATTCGGTTTAGGGTATTTAAATCTTGGAATTGGCTATTGTAATCATTCGACAAAAGTTAGCCAACGACTTACAAGTTTCCCGATGCCTGACATTATTGAAAGTCGCCATTACGCACGTGCTGAATTGTAGACTTTAAGGAGGGCCATTTTGCGTTTTTGGAAATGCCGATTTATCCAAATATTTTTCAACGTTGAGGCTTACCAGTTGTTTGCATATAAGTTCGAATAAGAGGATTTGGAGTCCAGGACAGCAATTTCAACAAAAACATATAAGAATTTTGATTTTAAGTTTGTTAATCACTACGAAAGGTTTATATGATTAATAATTTATAATTCTTTTATCGGAATTGCAGTTTTATTTAAAAAAAAAAATATATATATATATATAATGAAAAATTATTGAATGTAGTAATTTTGCTGGCTTAGAGATATTCATTGCAGATTCCTATAAGTTAAACCAAAGATCAGTAAAAAGCAATCGGGGTGTACGTAATGCTGATTATTATGGATGTGTCATGCCCAGATGATATAAAGACGACCCAATTTCTGACAACTCCAACTTCATTTACACTGAATATATTCTAGCCAGATCAGTGCCTCTTATGCATTCGGATACTGGGGATCACAAAACTTACAGCAACTCAAACTGTTCCAAGTACCGGATCAGACATATTATAACATGGTATGCAATTCTTTATGTACTGAGAAAATGATATTCTTGTTAAAGGCAATTTAGATAATAGCATTCAATTTTTTTGGGGAAAAATATTTTATTGCTGACAAATTTATTGTTAGTACTACATCACTACATCTTACAGTTATTCTAATGATTTTGAATGTGTTCCTAAGCCTATTAATTCGTTGAACATTAAGTCTGTTTCTTAAAAAAAAAAAAAAAAGACGACCTTGAAATCCATCGTCTTTTAAGCAAATGTATAATTTTAATCATGAAATGTAATTTCTTTTCCACTCTTGAAAATCATGTATTTTAACTCAAAATTCTCAAGGTAAGGGGAATTTTTACTTATCTAAGATCTATGTCATTTTAAAAAAGAGTGTACGAAATGATTATTTTACATTAAAGAGTTCCAATCATACTTCAGAGTATTAAAAGTCAATAACTTCATTTCAAAATTTGAACAGAAAATGGTAACTATGTATAAGATGTACGAATATTCTTTTACATTGTTTTTACTGTTTAAGCTTTTGACCTTAGCTCCATAACATTTTACTCTTCTACTTAAACTTTCAGTAAAACATTGGCGAAAAGGGGTATGGAATAGTAATGTTTTGGATGACGCGTTCGGTCTTGCATCTATCTATGAATCCTGTCTTGATATCACAAATGCTTTAAATCTAAATTTAAGTAAGGCAGGATTTGTTGCAAACTTACAAAAGAATATTGGGAACCCTTGAATGGTTTAGTTTTATTGGGTATACTTATTAGGTGATCTGACTATACTTATCGGCTACACAGAAAATCTATAAGAGTTGAGGTACAACTCAGAGTCTATACAAATTCTATTATTTTCTTTTCAGAAAGTATTAGGCAATATATATATACGTTTTTGACAAGTTTCTGCCCATGATTATAGCTATTCAATCTATTTCATGGATTTATTTGCCGATTGGAATAATATCAGTTATTTTATAGCAAATTCTGGACATCTAGTATTTCTGGAGTTGACGCTTTAGATTACAGTTGGAAAAAACTCAACGCCTGGATTGTTTTTCCGGTTAGTTTGGTACCAACTATATGATAAATCATATGTTTCTTTGTAGAGCTATGGATACCATTATACTTCCTAGGTAGACCTCTTTTCATTGTTGGCCCTATTGGTTGATAACTATAGACAATTTAAATCATTTGTGGTTGTTCGTAACGATTATGATATACCTAGGTTTATTTTTTAAAATTCTCATAGCAGGATCTGATGGTAAGAGCATATTTGCGCAAACTTATTTTTTGTCCAATGCATTTATGTAGAAACTGTATTGAAGCTTAAGCTATGTTTGGACATAAAATTTTGTTGTAAGCTTTACTTACTATTAGTAATTTTTTAATAAAAAAAAAATGATTTTCTGTCATGTTTTATACATGATTCAGATATTACGGAACTATTATTCTAGGTTGCTTAGGGAAGACTCCAAGAGTAAATCTGAGATTGTGTATGCTGAGAGCTTGAAATAATGGTTAAAAATGTTATTCTTATGGGCTGAAAGGATTGGAGTCTAGGGTGAGAGCTATATGATTTGTGAGTCTAAGCGGAGAGCAACTTGAAATGTGAGTATAGTTGTGAGCAATTGAATTTTTAGTGTCAGGCTGGGAGCCATTTAATTAATGAGTCAAAGCTTGGAGGCTTCTAAACTGTGAGTAAAGACTGAGAACAATCTGATTTGTGAGGCAAAGCTTAGAGGCACCCAAACTGTGAGTATAGGCTGAGAGCGGTCTGAACTTCTAGTCAAGGCTGAGAGCCACCTGAACTGTAAGTAAAGACTGAGAGCTATCTGACTTAGGAGTCTAAGCTGAGAGAAACTTGAAATGTGAGTATTGGCTGAGAGCCACCTGTAATGTGAGAGTAAGCTGGGAGCCATCTGATTTTTGAGTCAAGGCTTAAAGCCACCTGAACTGTGAGTCAAGGCTTAGGGCCACCTAAACTGTGAGTCAAGGCTGAGAGCCACCTAAACTATGAGTCAAGGCTGAGAGCCAATTTAACTGTGAGGCAAATTCACTACATAGAGATTGAGATTATGTTGATTGTATTTTATAAAGATGAAATCTTTAATGTCATGTTATAGATTTGATTCATAATTTGTATTGATTGGTTAACAGACGTTATGTTGCTCAAGTATACACTGTTGCTTTATTGTTAATTTGACATGTCCCTTATTGTCGTCACAGTTTCGAATACTGATGACATTATTGTTCAATTGTGTTTTGCTCGGTTTTTTTTTCCAGTCATTGTCACATTCACACTCGGAAGAATTTTTGCAGATTTACGGATGGACTACTAGTATGTCTTTGTTGCCCAGTCAGATCTATAGTTAATCGATTAATCAACTTCTGATTCCACCTTGTGAAAATATAACATTTCCTAAATTTTATAAATGGTGTAGTTTTTATATATTTGGCATTATTGAAATCAAAATAAGGATTTATTCAGAATGGGTAACTCGGTGCATTTTGCAAGAATTAATTCTTCATTTTGTCTAGTTGAGTGTTTAAAATTATTTTCAAGGAAGCAGCTCTTATAAATTGTGTTATGAATAAATCATCGTATTTTTCCACGAGAGATTCTTTAAGTGCATTATCTAAGCTTGGAGAAAATAGTACAAAGTACTGGACGCATTCCCTTAGAGCAGCTGGAGCTATAGCAGCAGCAAACATATTGCGTAACATTCTAGACAGGTAGCTCAAAAGAGCTCAGAAGATAGAGTAAGTATGCTACATGTAAAGATAGTTATCTTAGGATTTATATTTATAATATTCTCTCTATATCTATAATATTGGATTTGAATTGGTGTAAGTTAATATCACTTTAATGAATCTGTCTACAAAGTTCCACTCACCCGACGTTTGTTATTCGAAATGGCTAACTATGTCTTACCCTATATTCTGTGTTTTGTTTTATTTTATATTAGAACAGGAAATAATTTATGTTCGGATGAGCGAAGCGAAGGAGAACATAAATAAATTTCTTTTCGTTTTTAAAAAGTAGAAAAAATATGCGTGTCCCTCGATGGATTTGAACCGGGGACCTTTGATATTGGGAGCTTTCGCTCATTCCACTGGACCAGCAAGGCTTGCAAGTATTGTGTATTTAAATTAATTTTGATGTTGGCAATTTGAGTGGCACTATTTTGTTTATCGTAGTAAGTTGCATGCATTCGGTTTAGGGTATTTAAATCTTGGAATCGGCTATTGTAATCACTCGACAAAAGTTAGCCAACGACTTACAAGTTTTTATGAATATTACTTTCGACGATTCATTTAGATGTATTTTCAGATATTGGAAAAAGTTTTGTTGAATAGGAAAACTCCTTCAATCAGGATGTTTACTGATTTCACATTTCAGCTGCAGTTTTGTATTCTTCTCCATTTAGAATCCTTTCAATAATGCCGCATTTGCTTTGATGTAGTGTTTACAGTCATTCTAATATGTTTTTATTTTGTTAGCTCTACTAAATTAAGTCAATTTATTGTACATTATAGTTAATGACACTTTTGCGTTAAGTTTGTGAGAATGAGTCCGCCATTCATTTTGTTTACCTCGCAATTGCTGCGGACTTACAGGTTTCCATAGTTTTTTCAACAAAAGGTTGTTTTTTATCTATGGTTTTTCCTGGGCGGCGAGAGAAGCATAATTGTTTCTTACGTTTTTCATATTTTTTTCATTTACGAAGTCCAACCCAATAAGACCTGGTATGCCTAGCTAAAATCTAAAATATATTTTCAGTGATGTGGGGACTATAAATATCGTGTTAAACATCTTCTTGTTCTGTAATATATTTAATTATTTCTTTGATTCATTGTAGAAGGAAGGTAAAGATTTGGTACTATTGAAGACTTGTGTTCATAAATGTATTCGTCTAATAAATGCAGCAAGCAAGTCCTTAGAGCTTCTTTGTAGACGCACCTTAGGACGCGTTTATATCAATTCTACAAATCAGTTTGAATTAATCTGCCCAACATTGCCGCCTCCTCCTTCATTATGGATACTGATTTGCCCTCCTACAGACGCGATGATCTTTGTACAATTTGACTTTAATAAATGGCTAACTATGTCTTACCCTATATTCTGTGTTTTGTTTTATTTTATATTAGAACAGGAAATTTATGTTCGGATAAGCGAAGCGAAGGAGAACATAACACAGGTTTACATAATGGATACACATATTTTTAACAGAACAGGTAATAAATGTTGTGAATAGGTTGACTGGTAGGGTTCGACTGATGTAGGAAGGTGGGTGGCTATGAGGTCACGGTAAAAGGTCACAGTGAATTCACATAGTAACATGTGCATTTCAACCGTGTTCACTGGTGTTGTAAAACTCAGGTGATAGCCAATTTAAATGTTGCAACATGTTGGAGACATTACTACCAGAACCCAGAAAATCTTTTTTTCGCATTCGATTCGTTCTTCGAGTATTTTGTTTTTAATTTTAGCATTTTTTGGTCACCAGAAAAAGGATCTTTGTATATATAAGAAAGGACATTGTCTGGAAACAAGTGGATTGATTAAACAATTGGGAAGGAAAAGCTACATCTCCTAGATTTATTCCTTTTTGATCAGTACACTTTTTGTTTGTCAATGACAATCTTGGATGACAGAAAACTGCCCATCGTCAAACCAGTTAGTTGATGAAGCCAATGTTTCTCTGTGCATTTAAATGTAGATATACTGTTAAGATTCAGAAATGCACAATGTAAGGCAAAATGGTATAATATAATACATGTGGAATTTAAAAAAAAGGATTATGAATTCATATTCAAATGTTGCCACATAATTGCAGCTGACAAATTAGCTGTATCTTGAAATATGTTTCATTAGAACCAAAGTGGTCTTTTACAATGTTTATTTAAAATCAAAGGATGACCGCACTTAACGCTGTGTTTTGGGTCTTTTTCGATCGCTTCTGTTGCTTTTAAATCTCGACGCTTAAAAAAGAAAAAAAAATCTTGACTTATATTTACTACAGAATTATGTCAATTTGACACCCAATTTAAATGTTAAATATAATATTAGACTGTAGTACAGTGATTAATTTCATGTGTTTTGTCCTTACGGTTTTCCGAATACAGAGCATTTACACTTACCTGCCCTTGACTGAACATTATGTATGTATGAGAGGTGGAGCTAACATCATAAGAATGAATCTAAAATTAGACTGGATGAATAACAATGGCATGTATTAAAAACTACGAGATCTCTATTTTCCATCCTCCTATTTATTCTGTAGTTCGGCATAAGTACAATATTTGCAAAGATTTAAAGGGTATGATCCCATCCATTTAAGTAAAGAATATTTTTAATCGATGGCTGACTATTTAACGTGTTCGAGAATAGCGTCCTAGTTAGCTCAAAACATGCGACCAATAAGTCACGTGACGGAATTTAGTATCCACAAAATTACCCGGGGAAAGATATCACGTGGTGAATTATAATATTCATCGTGTCTAGGGCGAGTGAAAGAAGAAGCAGTCTTTTCTCTTTTTAACAATGAGCGCATGTTTGTCTATTAATCTCCTTTTAACACAACATTACAAAAAGCAAATATACAACTACTGTTAAAAGGAGAACAATAGACAAACATGCGCTGACTATGTATAAAGTCAGTAAAGAAAGTGGGCGTCCTCATTATCGTATGGAGATAGAAGAAATTGTGGTGAACCCCGCCTTAGAAAACAAATTCGTACATCGTAAATACATACTTTTATTTATTGTAATTAAGTAAAGTTGAAGATTAGATGTTGATCATTTCTACAACTGAAAGAAAAATGTATGTTTTAAAAATTAATTTTGACGCAAATTTCGCATATCCTTAAGTGCTGTCATCCTTTAAATAATCTGATTGATAATGCAATTGATTTTGGTCATTAAATAAAAAAAAAACCCTCTAATTCAATTGAGCATTTCTCCATCGGAGAGCGATCCATTTATGTACCCATTACTGATGAAACCAATTTATCAATACTGGAAGATAGACGACACTTTCTTTCGGCATACATTTATCTCTGTACGTTATCAATTCAAAATATTTTTCCCATGCATAGAATATTGTACTTTTCTTTTAAATTGTTTTAAAAGTTCAATTTAACAGTACTTATTTATATAAGAACAAGCTAATTCAGAGAATTCGTGTCCCCCGCTTAGGGAAAAAGTCGGCTCCCCCTGACTGAATTTGTAGAATTGTTAAATGTATACATGTATACTGAAGCAAATAAAATACATGTATGTCAATATGCATATATAAAGATTTGATTGCTTATTCTTTATTATGTGTACAGAAGATTTTTTTATATGGAATGTTTATCACACTGTAATGATGATTTTATAACCTCATAAATTTTTCATTTCACATGCTGAATACTATCATTTAGTAAAAAAAAAGTATTAATAAAAAAAAAGAAAAAAAAAGAAAGGATCGACCGAGATTCGATCCCGGGACCTCTTACATTTGAATCGAGAGACATAACCACTAGACCACGGAATCGCTTTTCACGAAGCAAAGTATATGCAGAACTGAAGTCACATACATGTATATATTCATGTTTTCATGTTCGGTATTCTCAAAATTTTACACAATCCATGGTGTTTGATTTATTTAGCCTTTATTAAACAGTTCTAATAGATGTAATAAGAACATAAAGTCCGCCGAGAACCTGTTTTATACGCAATAACTCTCGTCATGCCCCTGCGCTATAAATAGCGACATGTAATACTATAAATACTAATAAAACAAACGGGGCGGGGCACTTTGAGAGGGGTGAGAGACGTCCTAGGGAGTTTTGGTATAAAATTACATTGAATAAGCTCAAAATCTTCTTGAAATATCGCCCGAAAATGATAGTGTTGCACACAGACAGAATGTATAAATTTACGACCTTGAACTTTGACCTTTTGACCTCAAAATCAATAGGGGTCTTTATTAGGCCACATGGAGTTGTTATATAAAATTTCATTGCAATAGCTCAAATGGTTCTAGAGATATCGTGTGGAAACGAAAGTGTTTTAACAGACAGAATTTGCTTATTTATGACCTTGACTTTTGACCTTTTGACCTCAAAATCAATAGGGGTCTTCTTTAGTCCATAGGGAGTTGCTATGCTAAGTTTCATTGCAAAAGCTCAAAGGGTTCTCGAGATATCGTGTGGAAACGAAAGCGTTACAGACAGACAGAAAGACGGACGGACGGACGGACGGACAGACGGACGGACAAACCCAAATTAATATCCCCCACTTTTCAAGTGGGGGACAATAAAATGTTCACATCTGAACTTTAATGTCATGAGTCGTGTTACTATATGAACATGCAGTTCGCATTAAAATGAATATTAATTTGAGGATTACAACACGTCCTAGACATGTGGACAGAGTTTACACGAGGACAAATATCAGAATGTTTATCAATCTCTAGCATCTAATCAGAGATTCCAAATAGCATGATTGACGGGGTTCAAAGACCTATTACAGTTTCAGACGGTGCTCATTTCTCGAGCACAAAGAATAATAACGGCAGCTTTACAATGGTTTATGACCCAATGGACTGTGTTCTTAACTTTTTTTATTTGAGTACTATCAGTAGATGCTCATTAACTCATTTTTTCGATAGCCGTCTGAAAAGAAAATGGAAAAGAAATAGTCAAAATGTATGGCGTCCTGTTTGACTTGATAGAAACTGTCGGAGATTAAATGTCAAGAACAAAGTTGAAGAAAACGAGACATATATCGTATCTGAAAATAGTGGAGTGACAAGACCGTCAAAATTTTGAATTTAATGTACCACCCTACCCTACGGCTGATTTGTACTTTTTTGGTCAGATATATTGTCAAGCAATAATTTTTGCCCGGTCGTAGAAAATTCTATGGTCAAATTTTAAAATAATAGGAGATTAAAGATCAGTGAATGAAATATGACCATAACATTGAACATAAAAGATAAAGATCAAGGAATTAATTAAAATAATGTAAATTTGTATAGGAATTTTATTTATTCTGTAAATATATTGATTTCATGGAAAAAGAACGAAAATTTGAATAACTATGCCCGTTTGTCTGTCTGTAAGATTAAAGGTTTGTCTTAAGTATTTTTAATTAAATTTTAAAGGTTTAATGCAAATGTACATGTTATTCTCAACGTAACAATTGCGTAATATTTAGTACATGAAGTAAAGAAAAATAAAAACAAGAACAAAATCACCCACCATCACCACCCACCCACCCCGGACCCCCCCCCCTAAAAAAAAGGAATATGACTAGCTTTCGCATCTTGTTTTTCAGATGTAGATTCATTATTTTTCAAGAAATTGTTCGACGCTCTTTTTTAAGCAATTTAAGTAACTTAAATAAAAATTCTGCTCTCACACTGGATTTCGGTATTCCAGTCTCATCCAAAGGACAACAAAATATTTAAAGTCTTAATATTTTTCATAAGCTAATTTTTTGTATCATGTAATGTTGTCTATGATTCGAAAATTTATGGATAATCTAATGAACTTTCGACTATCCGTTTACTCATAAATTCAGCGGATTACATTGTAAGGATTTAGTGGTTTCGAAAGACTTTTAACACGTATTGATGATGAAGTTGCAATTCTTGGAAAGGGGTGAAGCGGTCAAATTAATGGCGTAACACATTTGCTAGAGCTATAATTTCTATTCATTGGATTACATGAACATATTTGTTCTTAACTTTGCAAGAATATGTTTCATTTGCAAACTATACGGAAGAAACTTTGCAAAAGAGCTAAAAGTAATGATAGCCGATCTTTTAAAAAGATACTTTACGTGTAGGTGGGTAGATAATGATTAGAACAGTGCAAAATGTTTATCACTATGCAATATCCAAATTAATTAAATGCATGTCGTGCATGGGTTTTTTTT